CGACTACATGGAATACGAATTCGATACCTGTCACTTCAAGAAGCAGTCCCCTCGTCTCCCTTCATACTTCCACGACGCAATTAGATGTTGGCCGCGCTCCAAGACGTAATGTGTGATACATCTCCCTCAATATCACCCTGCTCCCGTATTTCGCATTACTACTTTATGACTGTGTGATTGGAGCTTCACTTAAATGACTCTGCAAACGTGAGTACTCCAAACTCTGTGTGACCAGCATGTCTTTGATATTAAGAGGATACATTTCAATGCACTTCAGAACCTCATTTCGACCAATTTCGACCCACAGATTCCACTATCACAGTTACACATACACTGAGTGGTTAAGACAGGAAGAGTCATTTTTGCCAGCATATTCGGAAATTGCAGACACACCTTTTTCAGTGTCAAAGGCCTACTTGGATCTCGGAGGTTCGGCGCAACCACATGCCGGCCAGCCACAAGCGCCACCGTTCTTCTCAGTGTTAGCGCACTTCACAGTGTCCTGCCAGAGTGGATGGGAACAGCCGATGAGCTTTCCAGTTATCTGATGATCTGCTAGATGATACTCACGGACATGATGTTTCTGCGGATGTGTGTAGTCAAGGACTGAAGACTCTCACTGCTTCATGGGTTCTTTTAAAGCACCTAAGTGCGCGTAGAGTAAGGTCGTAAAATATACAACCTCGACAATCCCACGAGACAAGACAAAACACGGAAGATTTCATTGGTTGTCTGCCGGACAAATCAGCAACAGTCTGTAAGTCACTGCTGGCAGCGAGATGATCAAGGCGGGCTTCTCCTGATGTGCGAGAGCATTCATGCCTATTCTGAAACCGACTAACGAGTATCCGGCGAATGGGGGAAATGCACTTAGTCCTCTTCATCACAGCATGCGGCAAGCAATGATGTGCGCCAACTCGATCCTAGTGATGACTTTAGTAAGTGAGTGACAAGGGAATGTCTGCGGGCCGACTTCCTTGGGTGAAGTCAAGGGGGTTTCTGTGAAGTCGTCTTGTACAAGTAACTTCCCGTCTCAACCGATTTCCCTTATGGTAGTGAGGCAGTCATGGTGCCTACCACTGGCAGGCCATCGCGCCACGGAAAGACGACCTTCAAGCTGGAGCATGAACACTGTTCAGCTATGTACATGCTGCAAGGGGACATGTGAGGTATGGAGCATGTATGCGATGTGTCATGAATAAGTTGCTGAGAGAATGTAGTAATGACTCGGAAGGCAACATTCCGACATTGTATGTGTCATGGTGACGCTCCGATGATGTCCTTCAGACGACGGCCAATTGAATTCAGGGCATCGAATGCCCAATAGAACGGCAGAGATTACAGTGCCACATTTGCAGAAGTATCGATGGGAAGTGCGTACACCTCAGGCACTTGACCCTAGACGTATGTACTTACGAGAAGCCTCACAGCACAGATAGCCTTCAATCTTCTACGGCAATTACCTCTTCTACTAAATCACTCACATATCTGTAAGTAGTGTAATTCCTTGAGCTGTACTCACCTCAGAAAGCAGAATCTTCCACTTCGGATAACTAGGACACCGCGAAGTGCGCCAATATTGAAAGAAAACAATGGCACCTATGTTTGGCCTGCGTGCGACTGCGCTGAGCTTCCGAGGAGCAAGTGATGGTGCGGCATAGAATTAGTGAGTTTCGTCAAAATCACAAAGTGTTTGGCTCATTGAATTCAAAGAACCGTCTCTGCAGCGTGTCACTTGTACCAACCCGAGGCTGATTACTTCCTGCATATAAGTTGATAGTAGCAGTCGGTAGTGACGGAATGAATTGAAATGAGACACATACCCATACGTATTGGATAAAGACGGTACTCGTGGCTCACACAGCAGAGTTGTCGTAGTGAGTCCCGTCTTGACATATATGTATATATATATATTAACACACTAGGCATCAACAGAGGGGTAAAGGCGTTCTTGTCGGCATCGTGCTGTGATCTTCAAATCTATGCAGAGGGTGCCAACGTTACCTGCAAGATTTTGCTGTAGCGATGTAGTTAGTAAATCAGTGATATAACTACTACCGGATCACTATCGGAATAGGCTCACGCGGCCAATGATGGCGCGATGCATCCTTAGGTATAACTTTACTTTGCTACCCTTACATCTAGTATACGTCAACATCCTTTCCTACTGGTCTCAACAATACCTGCATCCCTGTGCTTCGCAATGTCCAACGCTCTCTCCCATTTCTTCCACGGCTCTTGTCCCGGAACGAACCGTACATGAGCAGCGCGGTACAGCATCTCCTCCAGCCAAGCAAGCGTCAGCGATATGGCTACAAATGCCAAGTTCATCAGCGCCGTGCGTTGCGAGTTCGCATCTACGTCCAACGAGTGGACGGAGGGAATGGTGTATCCATAGACACGCCGTAGCTCCTGGGGGATCCTTCGGGTTCGCAATGCTTGAGCAGGAGCCATATACCTGGGAGCAGTTTGGGGCATGGAATGATCGGCAGTAAAGACAGTACAAAAGAGGTCCGGCGAAGAAGTTACAAAGAGATGCTCCGTGTAGTGGCCGACCAAGAGCGTATGAGCGGCAGAAGGCGCCAGCAGAAGAGTAGTGAAAAACTGAGATGAGCGGTACCAGACGACCAGCTGCGGACGCTCTTCACACACCGAAGACGCTACCACAGTTGGCTCGAATGTATACGGCTGTATGGTCGGATTGGCCGAAATGAGAGTAACGCTGACCGAGATTTCGCTGACTCGGCGGCGAAGGTAATTTTCTACACGCCGTCTCGCATATTGCTCGAGCACACTTTCCTGTTGCCACCCCACACCACCACTTGAGGGTGTAGTGGAAGCATCTGTCGGCACAGACACATCTCCCCACCCGAGGTTCGATGGTTTGGGATCAGGTCTTACGTACATATCGAGTCTCTTTCGGTAGTGGAGGATCCAGGCGTGGTACAGAATACGGATGTAAGTCACTAGCAGTACAAGGGGATGGCGCAAGAGATTTACGAGGAGGTCCAAACTGGTCAAAGGTGCAGATTTTGTAGTGCGGAGGAGTGCTGTTATCTTCAGGGAACCCGGTTCTGTGCGCGTTAGGACATCAGGCTCAAGCAGGTGGAGCCGGATAACGACGTGAGGAAGACATTGAGAAATGCTGGCAGAAGACGCATTCTCGGGAAATGCAGCTGGGGGAGGAACTGACGGTGCGGTGACGGAGGCGCAATAGAATCCACTGCGGTCGTTGAATGGGGACACATGAAAATCTCTTGGGAATGTCCACTGGTGATGGAACCTATTGTATGCTGCGGTTGAATGCCGATGGCGAGTCGATGTAAACAAGAACGCACCCTAGCGCAGGCTGTGGATCCTCTCCTTCGCCGGTCTCGAGGACATGGATATGTCGTTCTCCGAACGTGTTGTGAATCTAAATTTCGACATTCATGCAATTGAACATGCTGCTTGATCACATCACACACCTCCAGAACTACGAGCCACAGGGCTGGCTCGGCGCGATAGCAAAAGTACACCGTCAAAGGATTGATTCCCTCAAAGCCCAGATAGCTTGGCATAGTCATCATCCACGCGTCAGACAGCAGATTTCCATCATAGCCGTTGGACGACAAGACATCCTGCAGCCTTGCCTTGATACTCTGGGCGCGCGTCCGGTCCGACGAGGTAGATAAATATGCGGCCGCGCGCAAGCCAGTCAGTCGCCAGAAAATGCTGCCATAGCCGAATAGTCTCCCGAAGAATAGGTCAAGCGAGCGGGACTCTAGTGCATTCACGGACAAGAGAAGAAAGAGTGTTGGATACGAGAACGCGTGCGTGGACGGCCTAGGGCGCAGTCGCCGATGTGTGACCTGCTGTTCGAGGATGTATCCTTGTCCAAGAAATTTTCTGCGAGATCTCCAGAGTGCAGCGAACCCCACGAGACTGCTGACGAGGAATATGAGCACTACAATCATCTGCGAAGCACCTTCACGGAGCACGTATGAGCAAGATGGCAAGCGCTAAGCAAAGGAAGCACTCTACAGCTATAAGTAGCGGGCGAAGCCAGGACCCCGGCATATCGCCTTAGCGCTCAGGTCCTAATGCGAACACAATTGAGGGCCACAAGTTGTCCCTCTTGGATCATGGTGCGGACAGATATCCCCGGCCAAAACTTGACGGACGTCGGATCCCTCAGCCTGTGGACACAAGTGGCTTTATCGACCAGCACATCGATCGCTGTGCGGACAGGGCTGGTCTCAGTTGAGCATCGCATCTCGTCACGGCATTTGCCTCTGTCAGTTACCTTTGAGTACAATGGCTCTCCTTTTGAACGGTTGACGCTGTGACTCGGAGGCACATCCCAAATGGGGAGCTAAATATGCCAACTTATATCAACGCCGCATCCTATTTCTCATGCTCAAGATTGAAATTGGTGAATCTTTACGGTACAGAGCTCACCGTGATTGCCCGCAAGATGCTCAGATAACTGGCAATTAAGCACATAATCAGGGACTGTGGGATCTCCCGAGCAAAGTGTTCCATATGGCAGGTTTTCTTGAGATTTGATGCCTCTTCCTGGGGAGAACTCCAACATTCAAAGACTAGAGAGTGTAAGTTTTATTTCATCATGGAGTAATGTAGAGGTAGCATCGAACGGGATGGAAACAAACGAGAGTTCGGAGGCGCAAGAACACTCATTGCTCGGTAGACCAAGGCTCTTCCCTGGACCCTCAGTAATGCGACACTAAATCTTGCAGGCACGATCAATGTCAGGTGCACCTTATATGGAATCGAGTCCCGAAAAATCCATTTATAGAATCTAGTACCATATATAGATGGAATTCCCAACTGAAGACATGAGTCTACACACCGGATTCTACGACGGCGAAACCAAAGCAACTCTCTCCTCGCAAAATGCGCACTTGTATCGTGCCTAGAGCCCACATGAGCCCATGAAGGCCTTTCCCTCATGTCACTACAACCGCGCACGACGAACAGACAAGCACTCAGCAGCACCTCCCAAAGTCACCCACATGAACCCATCCCACTTAAGTAGCGTATACGATTGCGGCAGACAGTGATCGGCCCGCTCAATTCTGCGATGTCAAATCATGCCTTCATTGGCGCATTGAATACAGTACCTCTGTGTACTATGGTCGTGTGGTGAGCTTTCGCTTCTTCTTACCTTCGCGCACCTACTACGCTGTCCAATCATTCATCATCTACACTACCCCCGCTGGCGCAACCCTTCATGACGGTCCTACACAAACTCTTACCCTATGAAGACATTTCATTCCAGCCCCAAGACGAGCGTTTAACGCAAGAAGATGTCCGCTTAGAAAACCTTCACGAGAAACGAGAAAACAAAAGAATGGCGATCAAAGGTGCAAATGTCTATAGACCTAGAATACCAAGGTAAACAGGTCAGCAATCGTGACGTACATTCAGTCTCATCCGACGTACCGCGAGATCTCACATCGAAGTTTCGCAGTATGCGAATGGTCTTTCTCCTTTTTCTGGAGGTGTAGCTATATCGACGACATCGCTCTGGACGGTCCCTGTGATCAATAGTCTGTAAATGCATAGGCTGCGGTAATCGGAATCTGGGTCTAATGTACGGTATGCCTCGATTTTCTTCCTCCTTGCATCTCGACACTGAACGTCCTCATCCTCTTCGGTTTCACGAGAACATAGGCCAGCGGTCGAGTTAGCCACACAACCTGCCCTTCAAGTAATGCTGGTTCGTCAGGATATAAAACCATCCCTACAATTTCTCCTCTTGCACCATTAAGGTCTGTCTCTGATGCGTGTCCGAGATAAATTTCCAAAGCCGGATGCTAACAGACAGTAACGAGGGGACAAGTTGTTAGACTACACTTCATCACTTATAACGTGAACTTAAATTTATGCATAGATAGACCATCCTATCGCGAAATGACTTATGCATCACGCAATCCACTACCCTCTGCGCAAAGATTTTGCCGCAGCATGCGGCGTATTTGAGTTTGCAAAGGGTTCTAGATACAGCGTTATGTGCATATTTTGGATCTAAGCTCTGGGAGTATATGCCGGGGTCCTATTCCGACATGTCTTTCGTCTCCGATCTTCGATGGAGACCTTGATTTTCTCAACGCTCTTGTGCATATCGGCCAAGGAGTACTGCAGAAATTGTGGTTTCCAGGCATTGATCTACCGCGCAGCAAGTGCAGCGCTATATGCATAATGTCGAGTGCCAAACTGTTGTAGGCGTGAATAATTGCGAACCAAAAGAAAGACAACGCGTGCGACTGAACATCTTGTTGAACAGGAAAGACAGACATTCCCTGTCTTTTGATCTCAGAGAGTTTGTTAGGGCTATCGCCAAGGTGCACGTTTGGCTCTATCTTCCTGCATAACGATGCTTACGCACTTGTCAAAACATCTTCCATGGCTCTCGAGGCATGGCATCATCTATCGCGCACTTGACGCTGGACCATTCAGCCATTGCCCATAGCCAATGACTTTGAATGACTGTGTCACAGTGAGCGCTAAAAAACCGAGTGCGCTTCCTCTTGCAGATGCTGCAAAGGTAGAGATTTCGCGAACTCTGCATAACGACTCGTTCCATGCTCCTCCCACCGGGAGTCCCTCTCCTCCGACTTGAACGACACTGCTTGCTGAAAGGGGATCTCGGAACAGACCCACATTCGAGCACAGGGCTTCCATTGCGCTTGGGGCCAATATAGGCGACCATTTTGCTAACATTGAGCTGGCACTGAGGTTTTTAGAAACTCAAACAAGATCAGGCTTACCTTGTGCGGTCATCGTCACAGTTGACACCTCCTCCATGTATAACAACGCTTTCATGTATGTTACTGACCAGCCGACATTTGCCAGCTGTCCATGGGGCATGTGTGCCTCTCTTCGCACATACATCCCACCGTTGGCCTTGACTTATATTGAAGCTAAGATGACGCCCTTCGAGCTACTCGCTGGGCGGGCCAAGGAAATCGAAATCTGTTGGTCAGTCACCGTCAGCGGACTACCTGAACTGTGTTTGCCACTTCACGCGGGTTTTATTGACGTTTCAACCCGTAGTTTGTGTCTTCGTGTGATAATATAAGACTTTCAAATGCTTCGCTTCGGTAGGAAGGTGATTGTCAAGGCAAGGCATTCAACGTGTCGGATCCTGTTGAATGTGGTCTCCAGAGTCGATCTGGTTTCAGTGACCCGGTCAGTTTCATTCTACCATTCGCGAACCGGAAACAAATGAAAGTCTCAATAGTGCCCTGCAAGTCAATTACATATGGGCAACTGAATGGGATTCAGATGCTATGTGTGTATCACAGCGAGACTGACCGGCTGCCAGGTGGTGATAATGCGACGTGACTGATCACGAGAGTGTGACCGATCGCGCTTCGATCTGCGCTCGTGGATAAATATCGGAGGGCCGAGGTATATTCTCCGAGTTTTTCAGCTCTGAAGCTTACACTACTCGCCTGCAGATGAACAACGACTTCCTATCCGCTGCCACGCTCGATGCATTGCTCGTTGACTCCCGTAAGGCTTCCCGCACGGTCCGATATTGATGTCACGCGCAGAGAAACTACACACTATTCTTAGGCGACAGCGAGTTCTTGTGGACCTCGTGGAGGACTTTCACCTCATATCTGGCGTCCCATGACCTCCAGCCTTGCGAGGCATATAAGTCTCTGCATCCATAGCAGAAGTGTTGACCGAGAATGGCTGTCCTCGACCTCCTTGCCACGCTTGTCGTCTTCCTGGGACTGGCACAACTGGGTAAGACCCAGCCTGGTCCGTACCCAGGCCAGATCAAGAACCTGGTAACATTCGGAGACTCCTACTCAGACGTCGTGAGTAAATAGCGTGCAGCGTCAGTACTATTAAGCTGATCCAATTTTTTTCGTCGCTTGGTAGTATGTCCCAGGTGATAATGCTACAGCATGGCCAGTCTACGCGGCGATGTACGGCGACTTCACGTTGTACCCTTTTGCGCGATCAGGGGCAACGTGCTCCAACTATTTAACATACAAGCCGTATCCCTCGGTATTTGAGAGCCAGCTACCATTGTATTTCACAGAGAAGTATAATGGATCGCTGGAGCTCAATCCCAATGACACAATTTACACCCTCTGGATTGGAACAAATGACGTTGGAGTAAACGCGTTGTTAACAGGGAGTCAGACGCCGGGTGTAACACTCGTGAACACCATCACTTGCGCGGTTGATTGGGTCCGAGTGCTGTACACGAGTGGAGCAAGGAACTTCATCGTCCAAAACGTGCGTTTCACATATCTAGATATGTTCATACTTTTGTTTCTGATTGCCCCGCAGATGCTGCCGTTGCAAGACACTATCCTCTACTCGGCGAACTCGTATTACAATCGATATTGGACGGCACAAAGAAACTCAACTGAATGGAATGTCTTCATGACTGAGCTCACGAACACCGGTAACGATCTGTCACGATTGATGCTACAAGCACTTGCACCCACTATGGAGGGCGCTCACCTTGGTATTTATATCACCTGATCATGCGTACTGCAGACTAATCGGCTGACTTTAGGCGTGTTCGACTCATACGGGCTTATTTCGGATGTGAGAGCGAACCCGCAGAACTACTTGAATGGTACCGCACCTCTGAACGTGACCGGCTGCATCAACTCCTGCATTTACGAGCTCAACGAGAGTACCAGTGCTACTGGAGATTGCACGATAGCTGAAGGAACTGCGAGAGACAGCTTCTTGTGGTATGTGCCTAGTGATATGCTGTTACTTTATCAGTTGCTAATCACGAAATTTAAATCAGGTATGATGAGCTCCACCCCTCGGAGCAGACGGACAGAGTTATAGCTAGAGAAATTTCCGCGGCGATCGTACGAAACTCGTCCAGCTGGATAACTTGGCTCAGTTGATCCTTGACGAAGTACTGACTCAATACATTTAAGAGGATCACGCAGGACATGTTTTCCCCTCTGTTGCCATCTTCATCGGATGCTTGTATACAGTGATCACGAATCAATAGATTTGCCCGATAATTTCTCAGAGACAAGAGCAAAATGTTTCCCCGAGGCGAGCCATGAGGCAACTTGTACTGTGTCCTCGAACAAAGAATCCGGCTCAATGCGCTAATCATGAAATATAACCGTACGGCACCTGGTTCATGCGACCTAATAGCCAAGATCACGCGCCATCCTTCGAGGCCCCGGTGGTCAGTAGAATTGAATGAGAATATCCGGATGGTGAGAAATGGTCTGAGGATGGCCGCTTTCTCCGCTCTTCTATTAAAGAGCAACGTACAACAATGATCAAGCAGAGCAAACGTTGAGATGACTTACCCTGGTCTGCTTATAACGCTCGCCACCGCCCTCGCCTTGGTGCCGCCCAACAGAGCAGAGGGGCCGTATCCTGGCCAGATTAAAAATCTGGTTACTTTTGGGGATTCCTACACAGATGTCGTAAGTTTCCAGTAAGGGCGGATACGTGCTCTCTGTTCGGGCTAATGTCAGTGGTACAGGTGAACACTGGTGACAATGGAACATCGTGGCCCACCTATGCAGCCATGTACGGCGACTTTGCACTCTACCCTTACGCGAAAGCGGGCGCAACGTGTTCGAATTATCTCACGCCAAGGCTATACCCTTCTGTGTTTGAAAGTCAGCTTCCTCTGTACTTTACCGAGAAGCTCAACGGATCGCTGGAATTGGATCCCACCGATACGATCTATACTCTGTGGATTGGGACCAACGATGTCGGTGTGGGCGAGCTCATCACAGGACAGCAGAACCCGGGCGTAACGCTTGTAGACACGATCGGTTGCGCAGTGGAGTGGGTCAATGTGCTGTACCTCAGTGGTGCGAGGAACTTCCTGTTCCAAAACGCAAGTTATGATACGTCATTGAGGCGCACACAAGCTGACCAGCGATGTGATTTAACAGATGTTGCCCCTGCAAGATACCATCCTATACTCGACGTATTCATATCCCAATCGCTACTGGACGGAGCAGCGGAATACGACTGAGTGGAATGTCTTCATGACCGAGATGACGAACACGGGAAACGCGCTTTCCCATGCGATTCTTCAATCTCTAGCACCGACCTTGGAGGGAGCACACCTCGGTGAATAACTTGCATTCACCGAAGTGCGACGTATCTGACAACGTTGATTAGGCTACTTCGACTCGTACGGGCTGATCTCAAACATACGCACCTTCCCACAAGACTATCTCAATGGTACGGTACCTTACAACCTCACCGGGTGCATCAACTCGTGAATCTACCAGCTCAACGAGAGTACGTCAGCAACCGGAGATTGTACTGTGGCGGAGGGATCAGCGAGAGACAGCTACTTATGGTGAGTAGTGAGTAAGCTCAGTCACGGTGCTTGTGTTTACCGCGCCGTAGGTATGACGAGTTGCACCCGTCAGAGCAAACCGATAGAGTAATCGCCAGGGAAATCGCAGCAGCGATCGTGAGGAACTCTACGCAATGGACGACCTGGTTCAGTTGAGCAGATACTATATCGGTTGGTTGGCGCTTAGCCATGGCCAGTGATCCATAGCCTGAGGGATTACCATTTGTCCTATACTGTAGACAGTGATGGGAACTGCGAATTCTGTGGGCGAGTAAAATCTACTCGTGTTGGTTATCATAAAACATTCATGCGGAAGAAAATTTGCTCTGGGCCATACTGAGCCACACAGCCGAGTCCAAATATCGAAGTTGAACAACTTCAAGAATATGCTGGCGAATTCTGACGCGTCCGACCACGCGTTGTCACATTTATACGGATGAGCGTCACGCTCTGGTTCCTCTGCCAGACTATGAAGGCTGCAGGTCTCTCAACGCCAGATGAACGATGCTTCTTGCCAGACTACCAGAGCTTGGAATATTCAGGGCTTTGCGTGCTCGACCCAACAATGTCAAGACTACAGCAATAGATACAGACGCCGCCTGACAAAGTTCTGTCACCGGCTCAGGCGTTCTCTGGCACGCTCTCCAGATCTTTCTCTAAATAGAACTTCGGAAGTTCAAATCTGAGAGCCATCCTCAATCGGCGTCACTCGTTGCGTCGAGATGAAGCCTTTGTCTGGTACTTTCACTATTGTTAATCTCAAGTATGAGAATCGCGCAGTTTTGCCCAGCGATGAACGCGAAGCGGGACTTGCCTGCGTTGTCCCCTTGGACATGGTGTCTATTAACGATGAAGCAATGGTACGATACATAAAGCGATGTGAACGTGCAGAACTCATCCGTTACTTGTTTCCTTCACCATACAGTGGACGCTAACACCAATTCTCGGCGATCGATATAGCATCAAGAATGTTCGATACAATCACTTTTGTGCAACCAGAAAGCCCTCTCAGCCGGGAGCACCGATAGTAGGCGTAGAAAAGCCGCTATCATGGTGGATTATCGAAGAGCAGAATGTTGCAATATACGGGCCAAATACATATATGTCCGTTGAGGACATCCTTGTGCTAATAGGTTGATACTGAGATTTACGTCATCTGAATAGTATCAAGGACCATGTGAGACGGGATCTATGCTGGTGTCCCGAAGACGAGGAGGATGGTTCACTGGTGAGTAAATCAAGTCAGCATTTGGCATCCAGGCCTTACGAGTATGGAAGATCCGCATCACTCCGTATGCTCTTCAAGAGCAGAAAATGTGGAGGGTGATTCGTCCCCATCGTACCATATAATTATTGCTGAGCCTTTGCTGTATCACCAGATCGAACCATGCGTTGCTTCGCATCCAGCACTGCTTGTTTCCCAATCCACGGCACGATCTGAATCTGCGCCGCTAGTTGCTCATCGTAGCAAACCTGATGTAAATGGGCTATTGAAAGATCTTGACCAAATCGGTCAAGTCACAATAAGTCATACAGATAATGAACTTGCGCCTGAAGTGGCTTGGGGCTCAAATTCCAAGAGCAGCAGGACGTCTGGGAATCTGGCGATGGTCTACCCTGTGCAAAATGACCAAGCCTTAGATCTCCAAACTCATGCTAGCAAGGAAGCGGACACGAGTAGAAGAGCGATCTCACTGTCCAATGAGCAGCTTGCGAAGCTTATAGAGATGTCTGACGAAGACAAGAAAACCTACATTGATCTCCTCGATGAGGTGAGATCAACCCCGTTTTATTACCCATACACCTGAACTCTTTGGAAGGTGCTTAAAACAACCACGGAAGAAGAAACGAGCCTCAAGATCTTCCGCGTGCTAAGAGGACTCTGTGCCATGACAGGATCGCTTCCTCGATCCTTTTATATCCCTTCTGCTATGCTCCAGAAGCAAGAACCTCAGTCTAAAGATTTTGGAGGATTCGCTGATGTATGGTTAGGGCGTTACATGAATCAAAATGTTGCCCTCAAGATAGTTCGAATTCATCCCAATGAGCGCGAGAATGTCTGGAAGGCATGTCGTTACATATTTCAAAGCACGCTTATGTCTGATTGGGCTTTAGGCTTTCGCCAAAGAAGCCGTCTGCTGGCGGCATGTATCACATCCCAATGTCGTGCCATTTCTGGGTGTGGAGGACTCTGATATCCAGTTCTGCATGGTTTCCACATGGATGCCAAATGGGAACTTGGTGTCCTATCTGAAAACCAATCCACTCGCGGGTCGGCTTGAACTGGTAAGTTCTTACTTCCTTATTCGAGACTCTCCTGCAATCTGAGCCTCTGAGGTCTATCATCGCAGATTACAGACATCATAAAAGGCCTCCGGCACTTGCATTCTCTGCATGTTGTTCATGGCGATTTGAAAGGGGTTCGAGACTTCTTTATTATCATCAGCCCAATTCACTAAACGCGATATCGCAGGCTAATGTTTTAATCGACGGCCAGGGGCGCGCCTGTCTCTCCGACTTCGGCCTGACGGCAGTCGCTAGTGACGCAGGAGCCACCGTCGGAGCAACGGCAACTGCGTCCGCTGCAGGGACATCCGTTCGATGGACGGCACCGGAATTGCTCAATCCGGAATATTACAACCTATCCCATGCACGCGCAACATACGAAACTGACGTCTATGCACTGGCAATGGTCATGTACGAGGTCAGCCATAGTTCTTGTCATTACAAGAGATATGCATAATGATGCTTGTAGATTTTCTCGGGGCAATTGCCGTTCTACGAACAACGGAACGACGGTGCTGTCATACGATGCATTATATATGATGAGCGTCCCTCGCGGCCTTCACAAGCTTCCTCCCTTGGACTCTCCGATTCCGTTTGGAGACTAATGCAAGAGTGCTGGCGCTCACAGCCCGATATTCGCCCACCATTACCGATTCTTCTCAAGCGGCTGAGTTGGTGAACAGGGCTATGTAGTGAGTGGCCTCGAGCAAGTGTTTTGCTTGACTACAGGGCTGTGATGTATGGCGCTATTGCTGTTGGAGTTCGACGGTCGGAACTGGGACGCGGGTCGATCAGACATGGGGATAATCGCATGAGGGCTGCGACCCCTCTACTGGCTACTATATATACATGCGTGCGCTATGGCCCGCGGGCCATAGCATGCTCAATCCCATGTCCGTTATGGCACGAACCAAACCAACTACAACAATCGCTGCTCGAGGTGTATGACTTCCTCAATGCGTAATACGATGTATTTTCCAGCTCGGGCTTCAAAGGATCCTTGCTGAACGATATCTAAGAAACTCTTTCAACATGTACAACAGATTCATTAATACCCTTGTGCTATTTACATTCTCATGCTTTAGCGCACGTTAGTTTCCCCAGTTCCGCCGTGCCGAAGCGCGACGAGACTAGGTACTTATCCCGAGGGCCACGTAAAGGCCTGCGCCAGGATCGACTGTCTCCAAAATCGACCCGTACCTCGGGACTCCTCAACCCAGACCCCTGCTCCGCGATTACTTTTGCAAATCGCTGTGCTTGTTCTTGTATTTTGTCCTCGACCTTCGTTCAAAGCAATCATTTATCTTGTCCACCACGCCAGTCAGATCTGCGCGGATGCCATCGCATCAATTCAAAAGAAGTACAATTCAGACAAAAGACTTACTTGATCGTGCATACAATGCATCAAACCTGCTGCGTTGGAATTATCCATATATCTGGCCAATTCATCTTTGTTTGTCTTTAAAATGTCTTTGCTTTACGTCACACTCTGGCTTCACGCTGATCATACTGTTTGTCTTCTGCATTGTCTCACATTCTTGCGTTGTTTAGTGTTGCTCTTGGAATTTTTGGTGCTTTGTCTTGATACTTACGCCCACATGGGCTAAGCGCCACGCCAATGTTCAGCAGAGGTGCGCCAGAATGACAAAGAGTATCACTCACGTTGCCCATGGCTCGCCAGGGATGGCACCCAGAACGGATGCCATCCCCACCCACCCATCCACATGCTCGCACCGTTCAATCCAATCGACTTACTCGTCGTCGGAGGTGTCGTGTATAAGCTGCGAACAAATGAGGCTCCCGGGGTATTCTAAAACCGTCACTACCGTGGACGACACGATAGAAAAAGACATTCGCTGGTCAATGAACGCCTTACAACAGCGGCGGCAGACTCACTAGGAGGACGAGCACCAGCATCTGATGCCGCTGGTAGATCAGTGCACAACGACCAAGATCAAAACGTTAGCGAAAGAGGGAGAAGTAGCCCGACGAACCTGGTGAGGAGAAGAGAAGGGATACGTGTGGTGTGGTAGAGGAAGAGGGGTTTTATAGCCTGAGGTGTGGCGCAGGAGTGGCACTGAGGCTGCTGTTTCCGACCCAGCCTCAATGCAAGCCACATCTAGACCGCTCCATGAGGCATCTAACATTCAACCCGACCAGGATGAATGTGGGCTGGTCCAAATCATAATGCAGGTTCGGAGTCGGAGCAACACAGTAGCCCGCATAGCCGGCCTTATATCCGATAGTGATAAGTGAGGAGTGAATATAGTCGCTCGCATTTCAAACATAGCTGAAAATCACACTAAGGTGTGTTAATTTGTTCCGAGCGAGATACTATGCGGTATGAAGAGAGATGTGGGTAGCTAGCTGGTGGCTGGTTGGTGGCTAGCACTGCCAGTGACTGGTAAAGGCAAAAGCAACGAGTTCGAATCACGTGCTCTCGACGCGTTTGTGACTGAACGCGTCTACCGGTCACGACTGCAAAACAATCCTTGTTCTTCGCCGTATCGGGCATTCCTACTAGTACAGGTCTACTCACATACACTTCACACCGAGATCATTCCCATCGTCTACCATGTCAATTGTGACTATTAGGGTGAGATGCATTTGCTTGTGAGGTTACCCCGCCCACTAACTTTTACCAGAATGTTGAATTTCTCAACAACCCAGCGCGGTTCCTAGATCCATATCACTTTCGCGTGACATTCGAGTGTATAGCTCCTCTTCCAGAAGGTCAGTTTTATTTGTGCTAATGATGGTCCTTACAATGATCATCTTTTGTCCATGACGACCTGTATTCACCACTCTTTCTCATCCGCGCAGATCTGGAATGGCGCCTGATATACGTATCTTCTCCTGGAAATGAGGAATTGGATCAAGAACTAGATGACTGTTTAGTTGGTCCCGTACCAGCGGGTGTTAACGCGTTCGACTTTGAAGGTTCAGCGCCAAGTCCATCAAAAATCCCCCCAGAAGACGTCTTGGGAGTCGCCGCGCTTATCCTCACAGGCTCTTACAAGGAGCAGGAATTCGTCAGAGTGGGTTATTATCAGAACACTGAGTATGACAACGAGGAAATGAAGGAGGCCCTGCCCGATCCTATTCGTTTTGATCGGTTGGTGAGAGACATCAACTCAAAGCCCAGGGTAACCAGGTTTCAGATCAAATGGTACGTTTTATGAACAGTACACAATTGTCACTACAGATGTTCGATATGGATCTCTCTAGGGATATATCACCGCCACAGCCAGGGCACACCGTGTCAGTAGGGGCAGCGACTTCTGCTGCGGTCCCTTCGGCAAACGATCTTGATGCAGAAGATCCAGAACCCGGACAAAATGGTCCTTCCTCATGACATCTGGCCATCTGGTATGCGCACTGAGCGCAAAACCTGTATTGATGTTCCTGTACGATGTTTACGTTCGTCTGCATCCGATCCTGCTAAATCCCATCCCTCCACGATCCAAATGACTCTCACGTAATATGTGTGACCGCAATAAACATTTTAGCATGATGTACTTGTTTTCGTCACGTAAAGCTGTTGAAGTGTGTTGCCAGGAAGGTGCGTAAGGTCCCACACGACCCACGAACCCAGTGTCTCTCTTCTGCAGGGCTGAATTTTGTTGCAGTCGAGTGCCTCCTCTCCCAACCCAGCCATAGTCAATGATGCTGCTTTGCGTAAAGTATGCCCGGTCAGGTCGGAACCCGATTACGAATGTGGAAAGCCTTGTTATGGCTGTCCTCTCGCGCGCGCCACGAAGATGGCATATTGCTTGTCACTCAATGCCGCTAGTGTATTGTCCTGCGCTTCCACAAAGTTCTCATGGTTCTGGCGTGGCTGATACGCGGATATCAGCGTGCATTGTTGTCCCAGAAGCAGAAGCTCCGACGTTTATATGCGCGAGCAGTGCACAGACAGGGAAGCTCTCTTGCCTTCCTCCCTCCCACAAACCGCGTTTCGAGTGCACGATTTTCTTACTTGTTGCAACTTTTGTCTCATATTCTCGCAATGTCTTACGCCGAGCAGGTGCTCCTGCAATCGCTCTCTAACTTATCGCTTCGGCCATCTGCCTCGTGCACACCGTGCACCGTTGACTTGCGCCAGCTCCCGCAGGTGGTCCTCGGACGGATACTCGTGCACCTGTCCAACAAAGACATCTTTTCGCTCGCTGCGACGTGCAGAAATCTGCATCAGTGGTCATGCTGGGCATATCGCACCATCCACTTCGAGCTGGGCGAGGGCGCAGTGAACAAACTGGTTCAAGCCGTGACTTCTCTGGAGAAGCTTGCCAAGGTGCTTCAACAACGACCCCAATACCAAGGCTATGTGATCACCCTCTCTCTTTATGATTCGGAACGCGACCTCACCTCTCCGGGAGCCGCCCCTCCAGGACACTATTCGAACCTCGTCGCAGTCATGGATGCCTATCTTGGTCAGGTTGTCTGCTACGCCCAAAATCTCTTGCACTTCTTCTTCGACGCTTCTACCGTTGGCGCAAACTTTGCTCTCCCAAGAACGATAGAAGCACTAGCTCACGCTTGTCAGCTCGAAGTTGTCGCACTCGTAAATGCCACAGCATCGCCTGTCGATTTGGCCAACGCATGCCTAGCAGAATCCAAAAATCTCAGACAAGTCTCCGTGCACAGCCAGGTGGACATCCGCTGGGCTGAGATGTTCTTGCGAAACCAGAGCAAGATACGCAGATTGCAGCTGACACAAGGCGAGCGTCCTGATACGTGGCTAGAAACACTTGCTGAGTCCTCCATGGTATGGAGTGCTCTAGAAGACCTCTCGATCATGTGTAGAGGGGACGACGTCCTAAACTTCTTCAACGTGATCACACACTGTGTGGTATGTATAAGGTTTCTTTTGGCTGTTTACTTAAGAATAAACTGATCCGGACCTTGATAGACAGCGCGAGCATGGACTGGTCTCACCTCGTTGTCTCTGGCAGCCGATTTTCCATTTGAGCAGCTAGCGATGCTTGCGCAAGTTCCACTACGACGGCTCAGGCTGGTCGTTAATGTGCGGGGTACTTATCTTCCGGACTTTGGCCCTGGAATGATTGGAGGTGTTTTGGCGTACTTACCAAGCCTAGAAGAAATCATACTCGATCACTATAAGATGACTGAGTATGTGCCCGTGCTGGGACCTGAGCTTTTGGTATGTCACTACATACTACCAAAGTACACGCAACGATAGTTTACCACTGTCATGCTTTAGGGAGCATGGTGCGATTGTATCCGAAACGCATCACATATCCGCAAACTTGTGATTCCAACCTATTTTGCCATTGACCCAGAGTCACCATTGGACGATGAAGAGGATGAGGGGTGGTCTCTAAACGGAGAGGATGGCGAGTCAGAGGCTTCTGACGAAGAAAATGTGGGTATGAGCGAATATACAGAGGAAACCCAGGACAGAACTCGGGCAGGTAGGTTTTGTCGCAGGATCTGCTGTCACTCTCGCTCTGGCATTTGCTGATACCTCATCTATCAGTCTTAAGGTGCTTACCTGTCCTGTCAGAATCGATGGCCGGCATCTACGAGCACATCGTGATGTTCGCTGAAGAATTCTTCGACGACCATTTACGCAGCTTGAACTTACAAGAGCTCCGGCTCCTACATGATAACCCAAACACCTGTAACAGAGAATCCATTGGATTTGAACAGGCAACAGATATCTTCACGACGCGCGAGGGTATCGAACGATTAGGATTCCTGTCCAGGAGAATTGGCGGAAAGTACGACATGTTCTGGGAGCATGCAAGGAAGGATACAATATGAGGAGTGGATTATCAATACCCTGGTAGTCACCAATTTATATCGCTAGTAATATACGTACAACTAACCCAAGACTGACTTGTAACGATGGGAGCCGTGTTTCAGTTATGCATACTAGAACTGTCGTGAATTGGCGATGGTATGCTTCGAAGCCTTGAAGTCTTGATACATTCAACTTTAATCTAGATGTGAACGAGAAAGTCAAAGGTACAAGGAGTCGGCCTGAGATCTAGTACATGAAATCAATGCAGGAATTTGAAGCCACCTGATTAGTATAGAACTCACGATTGCCTGACGACTTGCATCGATGCTATCGTGGCGACATTAACTGTTTCCAGTCTTGGAGGCGATGGTGAGATATTGCCCGACGCTTTCAGTGGCTGAGCCAACTGCTCTAGAACGTCTTCCATCTGCAGATAATCTCGACTCAGCTTCTCTAACTCCTCTCTCATCCGCTTGTTTTCCTCTCGCAGCTCTGGCTCTAATGCAGCTCGCCTCCGAACTTCGTCGTTCGTCCTCCTGTCTCTTGCCGTCAGCAGCTCACAGAGCCCCTTCCATTTCCCGACTTCTGTCTCCAACCTCTGGACCCTCTCCTCGTATGTCCCTCTGAGCATCCCTATCCCATCTCGGATCTGGCCCTCGAGTAACGTCACTCTCTCCTGGAGCTCGTTGTTCTCGTTGGTGACCGCACTGGCATGGGCGGAAGCCTTGCTATAGAGATCCCTGAACAAGTCGCGGTCTTTCTCTGCATCTGCCTTCCGGCGTTGTAGTTCCTCATTTACAAGCTGTGTCTGCTCCAGAGTATTTTGCACTTCTGGGGATGGACTGATACTTGATACAGTCGTTGACATGATGGATTATCCGGATAGATGGCTCTATCACAACACTGTTCGCCGAATGGCCTAAATCATTTGGAGTGAGAGGCAGTCGTAGACCAGTGAGATGTCAATGAACCTAATGGGAATCTCACATATACTAGAGTGATGTACAGGCAATGTCACTGTGGGTCTCGGAGGCCGGGCGCTAAGGATTCGGAACAGAGTGGAAACTGGCGCTTGCATGCGCTAGTTGTGAATGGTATCATTCCAAATGATGTACAGCGCAGACCGTACATGCTCCTGGTGTGCTACCATCCTATTTACTGCCTATGCACATGGATTGTTGTCTCAAGTACTATACACCATGTGCACTAACCGTACATTGCAGTCCGTCAGTACACGACCTCTAATGGATCACGCAAGGGGTTTCGTCTTGTACAATAACACATACGCAGATGAATCCTCTCCACCGCCTTCCAACGTAGAAAGCTTGTCTTTCGGGAAAATCGACACCTTGTCATCATCGAACTTGTACCAGTCGTCGTCATCATCTTGTGCATCGCCCAAAGCCGTAGTCCGGATTGCACCTTTCTTCACAAAACCCATGTAGTGGCCCGAGTCAGCGGCAGCACCCTTGTGCGTGACGATTGCTAGTGTATGTATTTGGCCATATATCAATCTGTGTTTTGCCGAATGGGATGACGAAAGCACTGACCTATCAGCTCATACTGACCACTGACGCTGCTGCCTACGTCTGCCCGCAAATCAGGGTTAATTAGCTCCTCGAGCTCCTTCAGCTCCCTCTCTCTGTAGGTCGACTCTGGCTCCAGTTCCACAGTATTGGGAGCATCAACCTCCATGGTATCAGCCTCACCGGTCCCAGCTGACGACCCCGCCGCCGGAGGGACGGGGGTTGCTTGCGCAGCCTGCTGCTTTGCCTTCGCGCGTTTGCGTACGGACTGCCTGTCAGAGCGGTCGCCTTCAATTTGTTTGAGCTTCGTTGCGAGTGGCATGATTTTCTCTCTAAGTTCGTCCGTGACCAAGTCAAGAGCATCAAAATCGGACGGGAATTTGACCCTTCGCTGTGGCAGGAAGAGAACAATGACTATGGCTGGAAATAATTATACGAGAAGTATGACTTGCCATGATTTTTGCCTTTTTACCGATATCGCTTCTCCAGGCAAAGCGTACCATGTGGACGGTCAGATATGATGGTAGACGAGACAATCGTGAAGTCGCAGTATAAGTTGCATTGCGGCCTAACGAAGGCGACGTCTTCTCGATTTTTTGATCGAGAGCCTGAGGATTATCACTGAGCGCGAGGTCTTATTCACAGGCGAACGCAAGCGGTACCTCCTTCAAGCCCGACAGCATGAAATTTGTCGTAATGGAGATGTTGCATTCAATCTTGAGAGCTTTCTCGAATGAGACGGTAGAATGCTCCTCAGGCGCCTCGTCACATTTCAGTCTGTGCGTTTTAAGCAATGACTACGAAAGAATGAGTAGAACAGGGTAGGAATGACGCACTCTCGTCGAGTTTCGCAAGTCATGTACTGGTCCACAAAGTTTTTCGATATCGAAGTATTCGATGGTCCCGGAAGTCCCGGGACTTCCCTGAGGGCATTCGTCAGCTGTACCCAACACTCTTCTGCATCTAAAATGAATCGTTCAGACAATCTGTCTTGGGATACAATCACGAATTAGTCGACCTTGTTGCGCATACATTGTGAACATCCCAGACATGCCCTTCGCATTCCTACTTTGCTCTGCGAATTGAGGGAATGTTTGGCGCAATGTGGTGAGGAAATTGGAAGGGACAACGCTGTCGGTTGTCTGTGACATCTGGGAATACAGGTTGCTCAACACAGATGGAAGCCCCGGAGGAGCGCCACTGCAAAGGAATGATCAGGATAGCTAAGTGTGAAGAGTCCTAATAGTACAGACCTCTGCAAAGCTGTCTGTAGTTCGGGAATTACTCGCAATGCCTGTAGCGTAGCATTCATATAACAAGTATTTCCCAAGTTTCTCAGACCAACGGGAAGTGAAAGCTGAGACGGGCACGTTAGCATAAGACATCATTTGTTCAGCAGATAATACTTACTGCTTTCGCGAGATCGGTATCATCCATGTCTGTATACGTAAATGTAAGGACGGTTCGAATGGACCACGGCGCATCGAGATAGCTGACCTTCGAGAAATACGACGGGCCTCTCTGGAGGTTTGGGTAGCTCTCCAGCCGCACCAATTACCATGAATGTCTGTCCCTGATCACAGAAATAAGAAGCAAAAGGCATCACAAAGACGAGGTGTCAGGAAAGGCGGGATCATTGGAATAAATGGCCAACCTCTTTTGGTGCGACTTTTCTCCAGTCCGTGTCATCCTATGCAGCATAATCAAAGGATGTGTGTTTATTGCATCCTTTCGTTAAACACGGAGAGCCCACGCGTACCTTCAGAGTCCCACCTTTGATCATGACCTTCATACGATCGGGTGGCACCCCCGTCACTTGGTAAATAGCATCCTTGAAGACGGCGGGCGGCTGATCGAGGTTGAGTTGCACGTCGTGCACTTTCCCTGCGTGCTTGATTTTCACAGCAAGCGGAGCCATAAGTGCGATATAGTGAGGAACAAGTGGCAGCACCAAATAAGTTTCTGCAACTCGGACGCGCGTACTTACTGCTCAGGTAGCAGAGATCACGCGTCGCAAGTCCACGTGACATATAGTTATATTCCCACGACTCGAGCCTTGCCAGGAGAGATGACGTCACACGAGACGTGTCGTGCGTGGCTGTGTGACTGCGCTCATAATCGGCTGCTTTTATACACCACATCTTCCCCTTTCACAAACTTGTATCCCCTCCGTGCTTTATTCGTTCTTGAGTCTAAATCTTGAACCAAAGATGACTATCTAGTATGTCCAAGTTTGGTTTTGCTACTCATTTACTGACCACTGTATACAGCTACTCGCTCACATTCATGCTCCTCATCTCCGAGATGGTGACGTTCTGCGTCATTGTTGCACCCCTTCCACATGCTGTCCGAAAACGATTCTTCCGCTTCCTCTCAGAAAGTCCTCTTGTAGCAAAGTTAGCCTATGGTGTCAAAATAGCCTTTATGTGCGTCCGACTCACTTGCAATTGTGCTGCGCCTGACGCGTGATTCTCAGATTCGTGGCGATATTATTTGTTGATGCTTTCCAGCGCATGTTACGTGTGACGGCAGAAGCGGATGTCGCGAAAGGTGGTGGTGCGGGCATGCAGGACGTCAGGACTGAAACTAATTTCGCATCGCGGAAATTCTAGTGAGTATTATCCCGTTCATTCTATAGTATGGATGGTGTTGCATGGAATTGGAATCTCACTACTTTTACTTTGATCTCGTAGCTCCCAACGGAATACATACCTCACAGGGTTCTGCTTGTTCCTCTCGCTGGTTCTTACACGTACATTCTACATTCTCCTGGATCTCGTTCATACGCAGGAGGAGTACGCAAAGCTCAAACAGGAGGTTCTCGTTTGTCATTCTTGGAATCGTGCGTATTCTGAGTCTTTTACCCAGACAGCCAAGTCGTCGCGTGGACAAATTGCTTCGCAAGACCAAGCTAAGCAGGTCGAGGAGCTCAAAAAGAAGCTGGCTGCAGCCGAGGAAAAGACGCGTGATTATGGTACATTCGCCTTCCTCCTGCGCTTGCCTTTACTAACCACTAGTTCACCCTAGACATCGTGAAGAAACAGGCAGAACAGAATGCGAAGGAGTATGACCGGCTAGCGTCTGAGCTCAATGCTGTGAACGGGGACCTCTCCGATAAGAGAAAGGACTAGGCGGGTTCAGGAGAGGGGAGGACCCATTGCACCCAACACCACCGCGGATAATTTTGGTCAATGGAGTCCAGGAGTTACAGCTTTTATTCACTTCTTGCATAACGACTACCATATTATCATATGTACATAGTATCGAAAAAAAATCGGTGGTATGATAATATGTTAGAAAAGCCTATTGTGTCGATGTGATGAATTGATTATTCATTGAATCTTGTTGCTTACTAGTTCATGAGCGGCGTACGTAGCTCTATAGCTTAAAGTTAAGCATGGCCGGTGATGATGAATCGCTATGTCGCTCTCCAGACCCAATGACTTGGAACAAGACACAAAAACGCATTCAGCCGGGATGATCACGCACGCCAGCACTAGTGGAGGATGAGACCCCGAAGCGCACTGGTGAAGTGATGAGATGGGACATGAATATTTGAATGACCAACGATGATAGCTGTGACACCCCGGATTACAAGGTCGCCGAGCTTATGCTTGTAAAAGGGTATCTGTCCAAAATATAGTTACAAGTCATCGGTCATTGTCAGCACGGCGTGATGATATGTAGACATGAAATATGTGCGTACCCTACAAACGCATACCAGTGAGCTAAATTGGCGCAAAGATCAGAATCTCCTTGTACTTGCACATCCACCTGTGGAGGCCCCAGCGTTCGATGCAGCTTCGACTCATTGCATCCACGCTGTGCGACTCTCGCATAACTGCTGCTATTTCGGACTCCAACGTGATCAAGAGATGTCCGTCCATCGTCTCATCGTTTACTAGTATGTCTGTGTGAACCCTCGTGAATTAGTGACACGACCAAGCTGGATGCTCTACTTAGTCGTCCGATCAGTTCTCGCCTTAGAGTTTGATGTAGTAGAGTTAGTCTTGTAACGCCATGCCTCACTATTCAGCAGCTTCAGAAATGCGGGGCTAGTCTGAGCAGCCACAAATTAAGTAATAGGACTATATTGAGAGGATGAGACAGGCATAAGTGCCAATATTTACTGATCAGGCTGCTCGCCACAACGCTAAAAAGCAGTTGACAAGCGACCGATCATTTGCCTGGTATGGAAACCATAGTAATTAGTGCCATGGGCATAAGTCCAGCTCATAGTTGGTGCCATCACATTTTTCTTGTCACCAATCACCAGTAACGGGACTCTTGAAAACAGTTCATCCTGAATAATGTGTCCCGGATTACTTTTCCAACAGAAAAGTAATCTCGAGACGCATCCTAAAGGATATTCATCCGAGGGTAGAGGTTCAGGCTAGATCGGCGCCCTTCCTGTCCTTCGACCTGCCCTTCGGCCGCATTTTGTAGTCAGCGTTCCGAATACATAACAGACACCTAGGTGAACAATACTAGTAATCGAGATGAGTTTCACGGTTTACTGCAGAGGACGCTCACCAGAGACATGGGCGTATGGGTGCATGTAATTTGCCTCGCGAGCATAAATGCCATGTTACGGCGTCTGACCGCTCGGGGCGAGACGAAAAACAGCGAGTGGAATTCTTACTCCACCCAGACATACTTATATCCCGGAGGCCCACCTGCGCGTTGATTTGCTCAGCAAGGGCCCCGTATGGTGCCGTCAAAATTCAAGTCTATTTCAGGAGCTCACTTATGTGATGCCTTGCCCCGGGTAGAGACATCAGAAACATTATTGCGCTAGGAATGAGGCGGTCGCCGTATCAGTGGCTTCGTAAACCTCCGTGGCATTCCGATCTAAACTATTTATAGGATTTGAAAACGCAGGCAGATTGACAGATAGATATCCTTATAACGTATAGTACACATACAAAGTCTAATTCACCGATGCTTCCGCGTCATATGGCATCCACAATAAATACAGTCACAAGCTCCACCGGCGGCTACAAGGGCCGCCGTCAAACTTATGCCTCCACTTCCGACCACTCCGAAGCGTCTGAGACCGCACTGTCGTCTTGGCTAATGATCTCAATATCGTCTGCTTGCGGCGAAGGCGCTGGAAGGCGGCCAGAAGTTTCTACAGGAGATGTCGATAGCAGAAAGCTGTCGTGGTCGTAGGAAGCCTTGGCTGCAGGAGGAATATCCACAATGTGCACCTCATGGGAGTCCGCATCGGAAGCGTTCTGAGCTTGAAGTGCTAGCAAAGGAGACTCCATTTCGACATTTTGAGCCGAAGAGCTATTGTCCCTGGGCTCGGCACTGGGTTCTGGCGAAGCAACTGTTGTCATGTCAAGATCCGATAAATTAAATACCACAGGGCTTGATGCATCGGACAATGCGCGCACGTCCACATGGGGTGATGTGATAGTGTCCTGGCCACAGAATTCGTTTCCCACAAGACCAAGGATGCAGCTGTCAACAAGTGGTGCGAGTTCGCCGTCCTGCCCATGTGCGTCATGGATGACTGTGGATGTTAATTCCAAGGGTGTGACCGACTCAGTGGAGTTAGGGACTTGATGGCTTGGAGAAAGCGGAGAAAGAACGGTACTAGAAAGGGCTAGTATTGGAACGTCTTCCTGCGACACGTCGTGCGATGGGCCGTACTCAGATACTGTCGCAGCAGTGTCAACAAAGTGGTCACTATCAGCTTCTTCCGGAGCGCTGTCGGTTGAATCAAAGGTCACCAGAAGATCCTGGACAGGGGCCTGGATCTTTGCAAACGTGTTATCCTCGATATGTTCTGCTTCCTCCTCGCGGCCGGAAGGCTGAACAGATTGTCCTGCTGGGGGCTGGCACTGGACATCCTTCATGCTATCTCTCTCGCGGCTCCTCTCGCGGCTCCTCTCAACTCTACTTTCGACCTCCCGCAAAGCGCGTTCCACCTCCTTCACGACTTCCCTCCTTCGGCCGCGCACCTCGAAGTCGCCGCGGCTGTCGATAGAATCGAGCCTTTCCAGAAGCTTGTTCAACGAGTGTTCATACGAATGTACCACCGTATTGTTCGGAGTATACGTCAGCCCGTTTTCTGCGCCAAGCTTCTTGTGTAAGTCGGACGGAGATGGTGAGAAATCAAGGTGGTCAGGAAGGACAAAGGATGCCTCAAGAGCACGAAGAGTGTCCTCGATTTCTTTGATTGCGCCAAGAGACTCTCGGCGAGCACGACGAGACCGATAAAAGGCCAGTATTTTCTCTGCAGCAGCGGAAGAAATCACAGGGGTGCGATCGAGCTTGGCACCATCCAAATTGGAATCCATAGCCTGAGACGACGGTGCATATAAGTTTTTGCCGGACTCAACACATTTGCCATTCTTTCGACTCACCTCTTCAGACGACTGGGGCACAGCGGCAGAAGCGATTTCTCCCTCGTCGTGAGCAGCGGTAGACGTTGTTTCACTTTTGACAGACGCATCGCGAGCTTTACCCGAGAGCTTCGAGAAAAGACTATTCAAAGATGACTCGACCTCGGGATCCTTCTCGGTCTGCAAACGCTGTAGCAGCAAGTTCGCCACGGACGCGATATCAAGGGTCTCCGTAGCAGCAGATGTCGTGGGAGCAGTTGTCTTTGGGAGTGAGTCAACGGGTACGCCGGTAGCAACGTTTTGGGAAATTGACCTCGATGGGAGAGGAATTGCCGGCGTTTCCCTAGCTTTTCCCTTGTCCAGGTGGTTGACTTTGGGGATGGGCAACGATGTCTGATGCTGGGAAGCGAGAGATGACAGGATATCATTGGCTCGAACATCCGGCTTAGACTCGCGACGGCGAAGTCTGTCTTGCGAATACTTGGGGAACAAGCTGAGCATAGGCGGTTGTGATGTCCCGGGGACTTCCGAGCGCAGACTTCGAGGCCCCTGTAATTCCGACAGATTGAAGACAGTTGTCAACAAGGTGGATGAAACGGGAGATCGTCGGACACTCACCGACGAAGGTCCGGTCTTGGATCCAGGCTGATGGTTTGCACCAGAAAAGAGAGCGGCTAGGACCTTCTCTTGCTCTGCTCGGTGAGCACTTGCAGCAGCAAGAGCTCGCTCTCTCTCTCGGGCGATAGCAATGCGGCGTCCTTGCTCAATGAGCGAGGCGTATTCATCCGCTTGAGAGTATGTATCGGGCCAGGAAGATGTCGCGAAGGACGTGGACGGGTATCCCAGAGCTGGAGCTTGCTGAAGAAGCGCTTCAGCCGCTACCTGATAGTAGAAATCATTCAAGCGTTGCTGATGCTGTGCCTGCAATATGCGCGTTCGCGTGGCTTCGGCCCTGGCATAAGCAACGGCAGAGTCAAAAGCGGCTCTGCTTGCAATGGCGTTATAGTAGTCGCGACCATAGGAAGAGCTGGGATATGGACGCGTAGAGTACGTGTTCGAGGGGAGGGAGGACACTGGAGTCAGGACGAGCATGCTGAGATATGGCGAGATATGCAGACAAGTGTTTGCTACGAAGATAGAAGGGGATGGTGATATGATTGAGCCATGCGAGCTCTTATACTCGACGTGAAGGCTAGCTTCGTCAGCATCGGGTGACGCGTCCTCTCGAATACGACCGCGTACTTGCAGGACCAAACGGGTAGTGGCGCGTACCTTCCAGAAGCTTCGTACTGCGTCGGGCGAGTACAGATGCGGCATACGCGCCCTCGAACAAATAAGAACACACTGGAATCTCCACGCACGTGATCGGCAAAGTCGATCCGGTTTTGACACTGTCTGACTGGAGAAAGTGTGTTGAGCGAACGGAGTGGATTCAATATGTAAGACACGTAGTAAAACCAAAAGGCACTACCGTACGAGCCTCATAGCATAACTGATGCCTCCGCCGCACGAGCCGGCCGTAAATTTGTCTTCCCCACATTAGTAACTCCAACACCTGTGAAATGTTCAGGCATGGAGCAGTTGTTGGGGTTAGTCAAGACACTGTAATCCTTCGCAGGGCGCATAATCCTACTTCATCATTCAATTCGCACTTCGGGAGGGTATGCGGTGTGAATATTGAAAGAGTACAGACTCATCCACGACAACGGTGAGATCTAAGGATAATACGTATCACCATCCCTGCGAGAGTGTCAGTGAATTGTACTCCGAAATATTCTGTTGCTTACGCACCAAACCAGCAAATAAACGAATATCCGCATGAGTCTCATACATAATGTGTTCATGAGCATTGTTCACTTTAACCACGTCAAACTTGCCTTCTTCATTGTTCCAGTGAAATATCCGTTTGATCCCCGCCCATTTGCACCACTCTAAACAGCGCCAGCAGGGACGGGCAGTGCCCATCCCGTTCTTGGTGAATCGTGCGACATAGAGGTCCGCACCATTTGCCCGGGGATCTCGCCGCCGGGCGTGCCATCCCTTCTCCACTTCCCTGGGGTGGTAACCACCGCAGGACTCCGGCACAGAAGATTTGGAGCCCTCACTCCCGCTACTCTCACCGCTCCCCAAGCTACGCTGCGACGACGAGCGACGAGACGGATGCCGGTGTTTGCCCTTGTCCGCGCGGCGATTCTGCATGTGAGGCTGCGTCTCCGAAGGACCCTGAAAGACGCCTCTCAAGGCCCGCGCTCCCTTTTGGGAGCGATGCCCCTTTTGCTCGAGGTTCGGGTGGTGTTCCCTGTGCGTCCTGTGGAACCCGCCGTTCGACGCCTTGAACTTGCTTCTTGAAGGAAGGAGACATGCCCGTGAGACTAAAGATCGCGTGCATCTCCGCGTGCATCGACACCGGCTGGACAGCGTAACGTCGTCAGTACGAACCGCTCGCTGACGGTATGAATCTGCAGTGCTTACCTTGCGATGCCCTTGCGTCCGCACCTCCGAGCCATCGTAGTGCGGTCGGTGATGATTGTGTCCCGAAGAGATGACCTTTCCACCCTTCACAATCACAGCACCCAAGGTAAAACACATCGGACTCTTCGATGCAGCCTCAGCACACTGGGACAAGTAGAACTGCGTCTTGTTCATGGCGGATCGTACGTATAGCAATAGTGGTGATGAAGCTGGGATGATCACAGTTCATAGCCTCACATCGTCGCAACATATCGATGGGTGAGGACGTACACAAAAATGCGCTGTCGGAAGCGTTGTGATCGTGACGAAGTGGTTAAGATTGAGTTGACTGATTCGAGAGAGGATCGAAGAACAAGTTCAAAATGGGAACAAAAAATCTCCCTCACCAATTCGCGGCGTCAACGGCCAGCGTCACAATGAGTCACACGGACATCGCAGTGTCACGCGGCTTGGAACATGCACACGCACTGCGCAGTGTTAGAGAACAACTGAAAAAATGGTATCATAAACCAAAAACTATGACAACCCAGAAAAGAGAGTGAGAGTATGACGACGTAGCACTGCACCCTGTGCAGCCTAAAGCGAGGAAATAACCACCATAAAGTCTTTGATTACGGTGCTAGCAACTCTCGCGACAAAATGATCCTGTCCGCCAGAGAGCTCAGATTTGCATCCGCAATTATGACCTCTGGGTCCAACTCCACGCCAAATGCCTGCTTGATGGCCACCGAGATGCGCTTGGCCTGCCTCTCCGACCAGAACCGGAAGTCGTCGGGGTTGCGACCGCTGGCTTCGTCCCGTTCGTCGTCCGACTCTGTCTGCCCATTTTTGCACGACAGTGGGATCAAAGAAGGGTCAGAGTCAAGACAGAGCGGTACAATGCGAGCGAGACATGTCCGGACGCTCGCAAAACGGACTTCGTTGGGCTTGTCGACTAATGTGGCGGGATGGGAAAGAAATTAGCTCGAGCATGCGCATACGAGATTGAGCGTACCATATATTTCGATAGGTCCTTCCAGACTCAAAACATTATACTTGCCGTCATGATGATATCGTATCTGGAATGCTCCGGCCTCAATGCTCCGTGCTTCGAATAAAGAGCCGCAATCGGACGCACCTCGTATCGTCCCGTCCGCCACGGCAAATTGCCCGCACGGAACACGACTTCGCCATTCTCCGAATCATTGTCCGGCCGATTGGGTCGGTTCAGGCTCAGCGGAAAGTCCCCGTCCCATTCTTCATCATGGACGGGAACCCACATACCGAGGGACGAAGTCTTCGTCACCAGACTAGACTTGTTGGCTCCAACCTGTCAAAAAATAGCTAAGCCGAACAGGGCCAAGCAAAAAATGAGGCTATGTGTACCCTGTAAATGCCAATCCAGTCCCTACGCGAGTGGTGCAGAGGCGCACGCCATTTGACCTTGATGGGCTCACCGAGATGAAAGCGCGAGGATCCGTCCGAGCTGGGCACAATTGATACATTGTATTTAGCGGTATCATATGATGACAAGTCATTGGCGACGCGACTAGCGGGTGACAATCAGACAGGTATTTAGTTGGTGACCCTGGACAACATAACACCAAAGGTGGTCACTCACGAGATGACCAGTTTCTCCCTGGATTGCTGGAGGAGAACCTTTGTGTCCTGAACTACTTCGGAGATCCTTGGGCGCGCTAAACACATGCATCAGTCACACGTTCATAGCACTCAAATGCGATCCGCCCACATTTTGCCAAGAATTCTTCCACAACGTCGGCAGTCTCCTCGTATACCTTCTCAAAGGTGCCCTTGACCTCTCGAGCGACTCTTCTAATTTCTGGCGCATGGCGACCTGCACGAGATTCCAGTAGACGCGCGTTCTTGTTCGCAACCTTCTTGATGACCTTGACGAACCCTGCATCGTTCCGCAGAGAATCGCCGTATAATTTCCGCATGTGAGGGCTGTAGAATGGAACTTTTCATTTTTATCCCGACATCAGCCGTAAAAAGATGCGCACTTTTCGACCTTGCTCAAGAACCACCATTGTGACAAGTGTCGGACGACCGCGAGAGTGAACACCAGTTTGCTGCCGCTGATGAGAGCTAGGCCAAAGAACGCAGCGCCACTCATGACCTCAGGGTTGTTGAGGTATCTGTCCAAAATTAGACATAGTGGCAAATGTATCAAAAGAACGAACCGGTAAATGCCAGTATACTCAAGTTGCGCAGAGAACCCTTCCATGAAGAAGTCACCAAAGAACCACCCTGCAATCAAGGGTCAGCTCGTTGAATAGAAGGTGTGATGATGAATATGTACCGAAAAGTCCTAGAACCTCATACATCTCCATTGTCGCCCACACGTGCAGGCCAATGAGAATCTATATCTGGCTTCAATGACACGTTCGACGATAAAGACGGCGGCTGCGACTCACAGCACCTAGTGTGTGCCGCAACAGCTCATTTCCGACCGTCCACTCCTGTGGGATATTGTACGTCTTCCATGCAAGACAGATTGATGAGACTGCATGACAGATCAATCCAGAACCGTAGATCGCAGCAAAAGATGCGAAATACCATAAGTCATGCACATGCTAAGATTATAGATCGATTTCCAATTGTCGAATGCTTCCCTCAAGGCACCTCTTCCGTGGTCTTTCATGGGATAATGGTAGTGCTTCAGGAAGTGCCGAACCAAGAATTTGTTCTCTGATTGAGCCCGCAGAACGAACCCGAGGCCAAAAGAGTGGAACAGACACCACGCTAAAGCGTGCACAAAATGGAGCACCAGCGTCCCATGATTTGAGAGCGAGGGAAGGAAAGATGTGACGAGCGGGTACATGATCATCAAAACCAGCTTGAAATCAGATGCTCTAGATGGCGGAGACAATAATCAGGCATAAATAGTCAGTCTCACAGGGACTTGTCAGACGAACATACCTGAGGATATCGACGTTTGCGAAGAAAATCGCATCTTTCCTGAAATATCGGTTCATGAAATCGTGCTGGGACAGCAGAGGGGAATTGCTGCGACGATAGGTGCCGTCACTGATAGTGGAGTTCGAGCCGAAGGAGGATGTTGACCGGCGCTTGTTCCTGTTCTGACGAGCATGCACGAACTCGGTCTCCGTCTCCGTTTCAGTTAAGACCTCATCCGTTTCAGTGGCACTTTCACCCTCCGTAGCAGAGGGAGTATTAAGATCGCTCGAGAAGACCGACGATTCCGACGATTCCCGAGTATGTGAAGATGACGTTTTGCCCAACCTGCCAGAGGTAGCTGCCAAAACTGGTGAACGGTGAGCGAGTAGCTTGCGCTGGCCGTATGTGCGTTCGATATCTGCGAAGATCAAATGTCAGTAACGTTCGCGACATCAATTCATATCACAACTTACGCGGGTTCTCAAAGAATACCAGGAACCCAAACTGAGCGGCGTGGGCAGCTAGACTCACGAAGAGGACGAAGTAGCTGCCAATGATGAGCGAAAGGCCATAGTAGCCGGCGTAACCTGTGAATCGAATGAGCGATAGGTCATGGACTCAAACTATGACTTACCGACGGAGTACATCGGGTGGGGAGCCAATTCGAAGACACCGTCAAATACAAGAGCACCACGCTGGAAGAATACGTCGCCCCAATACCAGCCATAATCCTTGACCACATTGTGGGCTTCAGTCTTCACCCAGAGGTTGAACGCGATGAGTGCGATGCCTCCGATCCACCTTGTTTCGCTCGTATATGTACTGCATTAATAGTCTTAGACGAGAACATACCTCATGACGTGAACTGCAATCGAAAGATCTTCAGGGACTCGGAAGCAGGTGAACGCAAACATGCAATAAGCCAAGAAATCACTACAGAGCAGGTATCCAGTCTAAGTGACGGCCAAAGGCGAGATTCAAAGAAAACTGTGACAGACTTCAAAAGAATAATGTCCACCATCTGGCGGAACAGCAGCCAAGTGTTGTATTCGAGCGGTAGCTCCTGTGGCCGATCGTTAGATTGGTCGTGTGACTGACTGGTGCAGGACGGACATCGAATGAATAATCCTTTCCCATTTTACCAGCAAGCTGCTCTCTGATCCAGTCACGGACTGCGGGCTGGCGATTCTCATCTAGCCACCCCAGTCTTTGTACTTCTCTAACGATCCATTTCCGCTTGCTCTGCTTTGTGAGGACCCAGCCCAGACCTAAGTCATAGGCTGCCCGCCAAAAAGCAAAATAGACAAGGAAAAAGACTTTGGCGATAGAGCGAGGCAGCACAGCAAAGAGAACGAGCTGCAGTCCGAGCAGGCCAAGATTAAGGAGATCCAGGTGCGATTTAGGGTATGCAGGATGAAACAAAGCTGTCAAGACATCGTGCGTCGTGGGTACGCGGAAAACTGAATGAATATATTGATGAGCTTTCGAATCACTACGATCTCCGGACGAGCCGAAATACCTTCCCCAGATGGCGTCTTTCCCCATACGACCTCCTCTTTCTTCCGCGCATTGAAATTATCGTCGGTCGTGACAGCCTGCACCTCCGCCGAGTTGCGCCTCCGCTGGCGCACCGAACTTTGCGGCTCTGCTGTCGCCATGAGATGCGATGAGCTGGCAGAGATAGCGGCCCAGCAGCAATTGAGTAAAGCAGTCGTATTTATGCGGCCACGTGTTGGACGCGTCGAGCGCGTTACGCGAGTGGGTCGTGTCGCGTCGGGCGCGCCTGCCCTAAATCAAGGATTTCGTGGACGAAATTTGACTTGCCTCGGGCTTGCCCGCCCCATGCCCAGCTCGGGGCTCGGTGAATGCTGCCTTTATTCTGTTCTGTAATTTTACATCCTGGAGTTCTTGGTTACGACGGTTGTTCCGACAAGAAATAACTTACCTCTATATAGCGACAGTCGCGCCTCGCGCCTCTATTCCGTATTTCCCGTGGACCTACATGTAGCCTCGACAGGAGGCTAATCACCCTGGCTATTCACCCCCAAAACGAGTGTGCTTCTCTATCGGTTTGGGGGTTGCTAATGAAGGGAAGATCGAGACGAAATGTAGGCATTTATTTCGGCCGCTCTTTGGAGTCACCACAAAGGGCCGACCTTACGAGGTGCCATACACGTATGTCGTCGGACGATACACTGGGTACGGTACTTGGAAAGTAGTGTTCCGCATGTAGCGTATCGAAGTCAATGATATTCTCCTTTGTTCTTGAATACTTCTGTTACTGCCGACAACGTTGGCAAGTGAGAAACGTTCTCGTCGCGATATTGTGTGTTTAGAATATAGGACTGCCATGGCGTGCAGGAGGGAGGGAAGGAGGAGTGGTGCTATCTGCCCCACCTCAATCAATGGTTAAGCTCCAAGCATAGAAGCTCAGCAAGGACGATCTTCCCTCGACAATTGACCGACTTTGTCCCGTCAGATGCCAATGTGCAGATGATTTCCACGAATCAGCAAAACCTCAGTGAGCTGGTTGTCTAAAGCCATGTGTACATGGGAGTCGATGGGTTTCTGGGCCGAGACCACTAACTTCCGAGTGCGAAAAGAGTCGAGTCGGGTACGAATAGAGTTTAGTTGGACGAATTTGTTATAAACTACGTTTGCGATGTCGAGCCCGTTGCTGAAGGGGGGGGGGCCCAAGCATATGGCGATTTGGCGCGCTGTCGGCGCGGACATGCCTCGGAGAGCCTCCACGCGACCATGAGGCCTATCACGCGGAGACTGTCATCGAACATGTCTGCGCACATCAATTTTGCATTCGACCACAAGAATTGCCCAGCATGAGCAGCACCATTTCTCCCACCGACAGCGAGCTCAGACAGGCTCTGATTGACCTGCGCATCGACCATCCGACGCTGGGGATCCCCAAGCTGCACGCACTCCTCCTCTCGACGCACCCGTCGTGGACCGTGAGCGAAAAGCGGGCGCGCAAGATCCTGCAGACCGAGGGACTCGTCCTGTCGCCCAATCCGAAGAAGGCCGGAGCGGGCGACTCGGACAGGATCTATCCGTCCTCCGGAATGATCGAACGACTCGATCTGTCCAGGACCACCGCACAGCTCGACGTCCACTTCTTTGGCAGGGAGAAGGGGAAAGGCCTCCTCACCCGCACCAAAATCACAGAGGGCCAGATCATCTGGAGAGAGGACCCTTTCGTCCTCGCTCCTGAATGGTGAGTCCGCATCATCCTACCCCTCCCCGTTCATATCATCTTTTTCCCCACCCGGTGGCTGCGGAGCTCCCAGTGCGTCTCGTGCCCCCCCCCATCTCCTCGCAGCTTGCCGTTTCCGCAGAGATGACTGACGTTGATGTTTTCTCAGGGAGCTGTATGACCTGCAAGTTCAATCCCAAGCCTGCAGTTTCTGCAGCACTCCTATCAAGTACTCGTCCATAACCACCTCGTGCCCCGCTTCCACATCGGATCCCCCGTGTCCTGCCCGGTTCTGCAACCGACTCTGTCTCTCGCGCTCCGGGCGGACCCATCCCCTGCTGTGCCCCGCCCAAAACCCTGCCTCCGTGCCGCTACTCGCATTTGCCAGAAAGACCCAATGGATGGCCCTCCACGCCCTCGCTCGGTGTACCTCGCGCATGCTATCCGCCTATCAGCAAGACGGCATGGCATGGAAGGGCGACTGGAACGTCGTGCAGTCGCTGGCGCAGCTGAGCATGGAGGATCGTGCTAAAGATGTCTGGTGCGTGACCCCCTGCCCGCGTATGTGTGGACTACTGTATGTACAGAGGCATTTCGACCAGGATGAACGGGGCCGAGCCGGACAGGGCGACGTGGAAGAAGGCCCACCAGCTGTTCGTGCAGGCACTACAGGAGCCCGCCGCGCCCGCCGAGAAAAAGAAGCTCGCCCGCCTGCTCAAAAAACCGCTCCCCGACGACATAGCGGAGGCGATATTCAGCTACGACGCCTTCCTGCTCGGCCTCGGGCGCATGAGTCTCAGTCAGTCCCCCCGTCCCGTCGTGCCCCATCGTGGCAAACACACACTGACATGTTCCCGCTGCTCCAGACCTCGAAGCGCACGGCGGCCTCTACGTGCTCCACGCGCACATGAACCACGCCTGCACGCCCAACGTGTCCGTGCGCCACCTCGACCAGCAGGTCGCGCTCTCGCGCATCACCGTCATCGCGAAGCGGGACATCGAGCCCGGCGAGGAGCTCGTCATCACCTACGTCAACCCGGACCTGCCCGTCGCCGCCCGCCGGCGCCAGCTCATGGAGTGGGGCTTCGGGCTCTGCCAGTGCGCCCGCTGCGTCGCGGAGGCGGCCGACCCCGCGCGCGCCGAGGCGTCCGCCGACGGGCTGGGCGACCTGGAGTCGGAGCTGAAGGCGGGCCTGGGCG